AAGTGGCTGAGAGATAGAATCGGTGCCAAATCCTCGTTAATCGATTCAGAATGATTTTTAAATGTTTTTTTTTTCTTTTTGATAAAATAAATAATATCTGCGTATGGAACTAAAGAGCCGCAGCTTCACATCCAAAGAACCGCATGTGGCTCGCGAGCCGCAGGTTGCCGACCCCTGGTATATCCCATATAATTAGTTTATTGGTATATCGCTATTAACAAACTTTGTGTTGAATTTTCATCGATGTTTAGCCTAACAAATTTTTTTTTTAAATAATAATCGTTGCTATTGTATCGTTAAAAATTATTTTAAAATTATTTTATTGCTCACAAAACAAACAACCACTCATAATTAGAAAATTAAGTCTCGTTTAAATACTGGCCTCCCTTCAATGGTCAAGCTGTTGACGCCAGCTAAAACACGCAAAAATTTAACAAAAATAATATTAAAGTTGCCAAGACATAGCCAAATATTGTAATGCCACATCACTAGCGGACATTTGAAATTTGCCGACTAGAACGGTCGGTTGACCGATGTGACAGTTAATTGGGGGTCGGATAATTGATGCTCTACTGTATATGTTTAATTTCAATTCAATTCTTGTTTCCAAAAACTGCAATTAATAGAAATACCAAGATGATAAGAATTAATAGTACTAACAATAAGATTCAATAAAAAAGAAGGTTACCAAAAAATATTAATGATGACAATTAATAGCAATAATAATAATTTTATTATTAATAAAGTAATTGATTAGCAACAAATCATTTGTTGATTTAAGTTATGAAAAATCAGGTAGTCAAACACTGATCAACAATTCCTCCTCAAGCAAAGCTCTAATCACACAATTATCAATGCTAGGGAAACCCCCTCAATTATTCTATGAGGCTCTCATCAATTAATACTCTTTCAATATAACAATGTCAATTACTGCCTAACTCATTTACATAGTCATGTGGACCTAGACTTAACATATCTGCTGCCAGCAACTCTATTCCTGAAAAATTTGTAATGATTATTTATTTATGAAATCAGTACTAAATTAAAAATACACCTATTGCAGACATTCTCAAAATTTTGTGTGTAACATCTAGTGGCCATTTGCATTTTATGCATTTTGATGTTCAGGTCTAATTCCCATATTATTCTCCTAATTATGCAAATTAATAGCTGGGTAAGAATGTTGAGAAAGTGGTTGAAATTTAACAAAATTGGTTTTCAAAACCTTAGGATAATAGAAATAAAAAAGCAAATAAGTTAACTCATACTCAAAAACAATACTTATTTTATTTTCAAATGTTTTTTAATGTGTTGCTAAGATGACATGATAGGTAAATTCTGTCACAAGAATGATGGAAGAGTTTAAACTTTTTTTATTTGTAAAATTTCTACAATAGAAATGCATGTTTACTTATTTAAAATGATTCATTGATTCATATTGATTACAATATTTATTAGATAATCAAGAACTTCAAAAATTATTTTTAATAATAGTTATTATTAAATTAGATAATTTCATAAAAACTTTTTTCTTTTTGCTGATTAAAGAAAATTAATATCTAAGATCATTATATACACACAGACATAGTAGAGCATTGCATAGCCAAAATAAACAGTGTGGAACAATTTTGGATAGCTTTCCTGCCCAGATAACTGAACACACTTAGTAGGGAAAGAATAAAAAGTATTAATTTTAATTCTAGTACAACAGTAAAAAAGATGACCGTATTTTGACGAGTATAAGTCGCTGTCAAGTATAAGACGCACCCCTATTTTGAGACAAAAAATTTAGAAAAAAACTGTTTTAATGGGATTGTCTAAAGATGCATTTTATTCGATTTTTTATTCAAGAATATGACGGATGGATTAAACTTTTAATTAAATTTAAATTTATTTAACTGAAATAATCGTCATTTCTTAATGTAAACTCAGAGGTCATGTGATGACAGTCAACAGAACATGACGGCAATAACTCGTGTGTAGCTACTCTGATAATCTAGGTACTCTAGCCATTCGGATGAGGGACTGTCTGCTTAACGGACCACTGCACAGGTTGGTTCGTAGAGTGGACCACTACTGTAGGTAATTTCACTGTAAAAATGGTTACCTGTCGAGTATAAGACGCACCATGATTTTGAGCCCCAAAAAGTAGTAAAAAAAGTGCGACTTTATACTCGTCAAAATACAGTAAATCACAGAAATTTAATACATATGAATGATTAGAAATAAAAAAATTCAGATTTATTAAAAGCAAGCACTATTTGCAACTTTCCTTGTAATCTAAAACATATGAATTTTGTATTGTTTCATTAGTAACAGTAAAATCATTAGTAATAATCTTCTATAAACCCACTATTGAGGTAGCTCAATAGCGAGTCTATAGATCATCATCAATTATTACTATGTTCAAAACTTTTCTGAATTTGTACCCTGAATTCTTTCAGTTAATCAATTTTCCAAAAAATTGATTTTTGGATAATCAATGCTCTACTATATATAAAATGCTGTTGGGATTTATTCCATTATATAACAAATAGCTTATGTGAGATCCAAATCGTCCCTGGGTCTAACTAACTATTTAAAAATGAAGTTAAATTTTTGAAGAAAAATATTCTTTCGTTTTGGTGAGAAATTAATGGTTTCCTAATGTGGGAAAACTGATATAGCCACTTCCTTTGACAGAAGTAGAAGCATCCTTTGTTTTTCCCTTATCTGTTACAAATCTCACCACACTGGGAATTGATGACCCCTCATTTATTCCCCTTTTCATCCGTTCACATGAAAGAATCCAAGTATGCTGATTGGTCGCTAATCAAGAGATATAGTCAAAGTTTAGCAGAATTCGGGGAGTATGTCTCTAGATCTGAAAGTGGAAAGAAGTCCACACATTTGCTCCCTAAGGCCAATGCCCTTAGTTAGGAGAACATCGAAGGATCTCAGAGTAGTCAGACGTATTTCCATGCAGTATCCTAAGGTCAACGCTTTTGGTTAGAAACAGTATAGTATTTTGAAGGCTATCATCCATAGACATAATTATCCTATGTTAAATGAGTTAAATTAGAAACATAGAAGATATATTTAATATTGTGATTATCAAGACCTCTCCATGAATAGGAGTATGAGAACCTTAGAACTGAAGGTATATTTGACAAATACAGAAGAAGATGCCAACTAAAAGGTTGTATGAATATAATGAATTTGTGAGCTCTCTCTCTTGAAGCGTAAATTTTGATCATTCGTTTAATTTTAATTAAGTCAAATTTGTAATTTTATTTACTTTTCTTTATTAAACGTTTATTATTGTTAAAGAAATGTTTTATCTTTGTTTGCATACCTCCACATGCGTGTTAATCTGCGTGTAAAATAACTGATTAACTGGTGTCACGCCCCTGGCGTAGATCTAGACTTCACAGTCCAGATCGGTTTAAATATTAACAGCCCTCCTGGTCAATTCTTGATGTAAGATTGGATCTTACGATCCGAAACTCTGAGACCTAGTTTTACCAACTAGCACTGTTTAAGTTTACTAACTATCCTAGTGGAGTAGTACCCCTGGCTATTCTCACACTTATTTATTTACTTTAAGTTTAACACTTTTTAAATAACACTTTCATATCAAGAGAATTCCAGTTGCCTAGCAATAATTTGCAATTTTGTAGATATTAGATATTATGAATTTAGAGATATTTTAAAGATTTTTAATTGAAAATAAAAAATTACAATTTAAAAAGTCAAACTTCTTAATACAAGGTGTGACAATTTAATTCCGGGACTGGTCATATAGTGCTGCATTGTCAGTGTGCAGAAACTTTTTTTTTTTTTCATTGGATAGTCATCATTTCCCCAATCGGGGATCAGAGTCACCCTTGTCCCGCTATCTGCACCACAAGGGAAATGTGCAGAAACTTGTCTAAGCTTGTCATAATAGTTCAACCATCTGGCTACTTGTCTGCAAAGATTTTTTTGTGTCTCAAACTTGTTCTTTTTCTGTACGCCATTCACATATTGTTGTGAGAAAGTGCTGTCACGTTTTTGACATGGAACAAAAAGTGAACATTAAGTTTTGTTACAAGTTGGGTAAAAGTGCAACAGAGACGTATGCCCTCATCAAGCAAGTTTATGGAAATGATGCCCTATCCCGCTCTCATGTTTTTGGGTGGTTTGTGCACTTCAGGGATGGTCGGGAAGACCTTGAGGTTGATGCTCGTCCTGGACGACCTCAATCAGTTCAAACACCAGAAAACATTGAAAAAAATCAGAGACTTGCTGTGATATGATCGTCAAACGTCTATTCAAATGATAATGGAGACAACTCACTTAATCATCACCGAAGATTTGGGCAAAAGAAAAATCTGTTCCTGCTTCGTTCCGGATTATCTCACTGAGGACCAAAAGTGTCTCTGGCTGGAAGCGTGTCAACAGTTCATTCAAGATGTTGATGATGACTCGAATTTCCGAAAATCAAAATCGCATTAAAGGGACAAAGATTCGACGACCTGGAGGACATACAGTGCAATGTGACCAAGGAATTGAGAGCTGTCAACGGAAGTGACTTTGCTGAGTGTTTCAAGAACTTGTACAAGCATTGCGAAGTGCATTGCCCTCCAGGGAAATTACTTCGAAACATATTAAAAGGGTTTTTCATTATGTGTTCTTTGTGTTCTTTTATTACCCCAGTCCTGGAATTTAATTGTCATACCTTGTATAAACAGTTACAAAGCTTTGTGTGTGTTAATCTTCAGTTTTCAGTTCAATTAATTTTTTTTAATGTTTTGACACAGACAGACCAATACATTATGTATAATGAAATATTTCATTATTTAATGAAGACAATACAAAATTGTTCTGCTTTAGCATATTTAACAAAATTAAATTTATTTTAAGTTAATTAAGTTTAAGTTTTTTTTTATCTATATAATTTATACATTATTAGTAATTACTATTATAAAATATTATAGTGATTTGTTTTATTGTAATAATAATTAATATTTCTTTTGTAGAAAGTGGATCCAGAGCTTATCTTTACAAAACAAGAAAGGATAGGCAAAGGTTCTTTCGGGGAAGTATTCAAAGGAATTGATAACAGAACTCAACAAGTAGTAGCCATTAAAATAATTGATTTGGAAGAAGCTGAAGATGAAATTGAAGATATTCAACAAGAAATCATGGTATTGTCACAATGTGATAGCCCTTTTGTTACAAAATATTTTGGATCTTATCTCAAGGTAATAAAGGCAGTTTTGAATATTTTAATTATATTAGCTCAAACTATAAATTGAACAAACTAATGAATTATAACTTAATGATTGAGTTAATCAGTTAATGAATAAATTTGAATAAAAAAGGGCCTCTATTTATTTAACAACCTGAATTTTCTTGTTTTTATGGATGTCAGATATTTACAAACTGATTTTATTTTCAAGCATAACATGTACAGATGTACAAAATTTATTTTTATTTAGTGATTAAATGTTGAGTTCATTATTTTTATAAAATTGTAAAAAATATTTTATAGTTTATGAATTTCATTTTTATTTATCATAATAACTTTTATCTTTATTTTCTTGAATGCAATATATTGGGTTGTTCAGAAAGTAATTTCATTTTTTTATTACTAGAGGAATTAGATGTATTTTTGCCAGCCAATTTCATTTTAAACCACATTTTCATTATATATTTTGACTGCTGACATTTAAAGGCTTATTTGTAAAAAATTTTATTTGATTCTGTACAATTTTTCTTTTTTGATGTCCCATCAAATATAGAAAATTGAAAGCATCATTTTTGGCATATTTTCCTTTTTTATTACCAAAAAATCAAAATGCTGTTCAAGCAAGAAAAAAATGTGGTTCATGTATGGAGATGTGCTGAGAGAAACACAGTGCCAAAACTGGTTTATAAAATTTCGTTCTGGTAACTTTAATATTGAAGATGCACCACATTCTGGATGACCAGTTGAAGCCAATGAAAAGAAAATAAAGGTACTGATTGAAGCAAACTGCTGAATAACAACACATGAAATCACTAAAAGATTAAATTTGTCAACTTGAACCGTTTATGATTACTTGAAACAAATTGGTTTCATTTCAAAGCTCAATATATGGGTTCCACATGTTCTTAAAGAGAGATGCTCTCTTTGGTGGGATTTTAAGGAAATTTTATTTTGAGCTTTTACCAGACAATTTAACAATTGATTTGAAAGTGTACTGCCATTGAGTAAACAAATTGAATATCATCATCAAACAGAAAAGGCAACCAGAATTGATCAACAAAACAGGTGTAGTGTTTTACCATGATAATGCTAAATTTCACAGAAGTTTGGGAACTCGTCAGAAACTGTTACAGCTTAGATGGGATGTGCTATCACACCAACCATATGTGCCAGATTAGGCACCCTCAGATTATTACTTGTTCTGGTCTTTACAAAATTGTTTAAACTGTAAGACATTTACTTCAAATGAAAATATCAAAAATTACTTGGATCTGTTTTTTGTAAGCAAACATCAAAACTTTTATAAATGTGGAATCATGCTACTAACAGAAACGATGGCAACAGATATTTGACCAAAATGGTCAATATATAATTCAATAAAATATTTATTTATTATAAAAATATTGTTTTTTTGCCACGGAAAAAACGAAATTACTTTCTGAACAACCCAATACTTATAGATGTTATAAAATTTAACTTTTAGTGAATGATCTAGTAAGTATATTTTGCTTTTATAAATATTTCATCTTTCATTTGATTACAATGGTTTGCTGTTCATTCTAATAAAAATGAACTACTCAGTGTTTCTATGGTCTTCAATGTTGGGATGGGTGATCTGTAGATAGACTAGTTCAGCATTTTAATTTAAGTCTATTTGCCCATTAAGAATGATGGGTTATAGTATATAATGTTTAGTAAAGTAAAACTAAATGAAATAACATAGTAAGGACAACATTTTATTAAAGAAAAATTTACTGTACATCACAAAATATTTTTAAAGATAATATTTTTGATGTGTTGAATATTCTAAATAAATTTATTTATTCCTAATTATGAAAAGAGAAGACACTGAGGTCGGCGTTACATGTGCATTTTTTTAATCGCAAGTACTTTTGACGAACATATAGTTGTCATCATCAGGCAAATACGAAGATTTACCGAAAAAATTTTAAACGAAAATAATCCGATGTAGAATCTTCGTATTCGCCTGATGACGACGACTATATGTTCGTCAAAAGTACTTGCGATTAAAAAAATGCACATGTAACGCCGACCTCAGTGTCTTCTCTTTTCATAATACAGTATTTTGGTGTGACACTCATCGTATGGATTTATTCCTAATTATTAAATTTAATACAAGATGACAGCTTAACCACCTAAATTATTCAAATTATGTAATTAATTTATAATTAATTAGTCATATTACAGCCAAATTAAAATCTGGCAGTACTGCTTGATTATTTAATTTTAGGTATTTTTATGCATTCAGTTTGTATCTATAAGTTAATTAAATTTCAGGGTACCAAATTATGGATCATTATGGAGTATTTAGGAGGTGGCTCTGCTCTTGATTTAATGAAAGCAGGACAATTTGAAGAAATGCATATCGCAATAATACTTCGAGAAGTATTAAAAGGCTTAGATTATTTACATTCAGAACGAAAATTACATAGAGATATCAAAGGTATAGTTTTTGTTATGATCTAAAAGTTTCTTAAATAATATCTCACAAATTTTTGTTTCTTTTATACAAGTAATATTAAAGGAAAAGCAAATACTAGACACCAATTAATAATTTTACATGTTAATTGATGAGACTATTTCTCATCTCTAAAATTGCGCTGCTGTCAACAGCTTCACACCTTAGAGGTATGAAGGAGTACATGTCAGGAGTTGCAATTTGGTGCAGAGTATTTGGTGTCCAAACCATGCACACATAAAACAAACCAGACTTGTAGGTAGTCAGGGGACCAAGAACCAGGTCAAAATAAAATACAAGAGGCTGAGACTGTTTCTACAAACAGGTGTGAGTGCGAGATTTGTGCATGTGTTGCTTGCGCTCTCCGAGACGTAGTCTTGTCCCAAGAATGGCTTCGCTGTTTTACTTGTATTAATTTTTTAATGACCTGAACCAGTTATGGATGTTACCTGAAAAGATCCATAACTGGTTCACATCATTAAAGAATTAATGTTAACATGTAACGTATAAGATCTTCCCTAAAAAGATACTTTTTATGATTTTGTAAATTTCTTAAATTATTATAGCAATCTTAATTTCTTAGAGTGAGTCAAGTAATAACATTTTGCTAAACAGGAACTGTTACATTTAGTTTTTACATTGTCATAAATATTCTGTATATTAACAGCTTGTTGGCAAATTGTCCGTTATCATGCAATTAACTAACTGTAAATAAATTCAAATTTTTTCTATATTAAGAAATTATGAAAATTATTATCTTTCACCCATTGTAAATAACTACCAGAATGGCTTAAGTGATTCATTTCACAAAGTTGTAAATGATTATAAGCCATCGTTATCATCATTTTTATCTAATAAAAAGTTAATGAATGCAGATCATACAGAAAAGAATAGTGAACATAGAAAAAACAATATAAACAACTATGCTTCTGAAGATGCAACTAATCACATAATTCAACACAAAGTGCCTTTATATGAAGAAAATTCTAAAGTTCCTTTAAAATATGTTCATCATGTCACTGTTACACCAATTGTTAGAAGTAATCAGAATAAAACATTAATTGGTGGAAGTGTTAGTCACTCTGATTTAAAAACAAGAAACTATGGTAATNATTGTTGAAACAGATAAACAATGATATACAGTGTTACCTTGGTATACGTCTGCTTTAGAATACGTCCTGTTTGGACGAAACAAATTTTGCTTGGTATATGACTTGTTCGGTATATGACTTAATTCAATTATACGTGCCATCTATGAACAAGTAGCACTATCAGTGTACTAGACCAGACTAGACATTCACGATGCAATAGTTTATAACTTTGTTAAATTTCTTCTGATTTTAATTTGTAAGTAAAATTATTTTTATTAATCATGAATTGCAAAAAGGCAGATGAAAAGCAACAGAAAACTAATAAAATGACTAGGATCACAATGGAACTGATAAAAGAAATTGTTGAGAAATATGGAGGTGGCATGTGTGTTCGATATTTTAACTGTTGCATACTGTATTCTGAGGATAACGATATCGACAATCATGAAAAATAAAGACATTATTAAATCTGCTAACGTTGCAAAAGGAGTTAAATCAATTTCTAAACAGAGATTGAAGACATTAGATCACGTTGAGAAATTGCTTTTGCTTTAAATAACTGAAAAACAGTGTGCTGGAGACAGCGTATCAGAAGCAATTATTTGTAAGAAAGCTAAAAAGATACATGCTGATCTCATGAAAAATCAAGCAGGAACTAGCCAGGAAAGAGAGGTGTTAAAGCCAGCCATTTTTTTCACGTGAGACCGGATTAATCATTTTTACATTACTTCTTGTGGGAAAGGTTGGTTTGGTATATGTCCAAATCGGTATAAATCCGAACATCAGGAATGGATTAAGGTCATATATCAAGGTTCCACTGTATACATTTTTTAAATTTATATATATAATTTCCATAGAAACGAAAATTAACATCTTGATGAAATACACTGTAGGTTTTTTAGGAAGGTTTTTAAAATATTCAAACCTCTGAAATCTGTTCATGCTTATAATAATAATGCACAGTTAGAAATATTTCGTATTTGCAAATTAGGAAAAAAGTTAATAGAAATATATGTCTTTTAAAATACTAATAATAAAAATATTCACAAATGGAAAGAATGCATTTCTGTTGACAATAACGTGTGTCATTAGAGAAACATTCTTTTTATTTTTTTTTACAAAAAACACAAGAGGAAATACTCTTACTGTATATGACCCCTAACAAGTGAGAGGAGAAATTCATTCTCTGGTTGTCCACTAAGAGTGTTAAGAAATACAAAAATTGAGATATTTATTTATTTGATCAGGAAGGAGTAAGTTTGCAAATAAATTTAATTTTCATATTTTATTCCTTTCAGATTAAGTAATTATTCAAATATTTGGCAGTTATAAAAATATTAGGTCATGATATTTCATCGCCAAATTTATATGAAATATTATCTTATGTTATCAAGTCATTCATTATATTATTCTGTTTGATGTTCAAAATGATGATAAAATTTAAGTTTGTATTATTTACTCTTTGAATGTTTATTTCTTGCTTTAGGAATTAACTTTGTTATGAGTTTGTTAGCAAAAGCAATAAATTCATTTAAAACAATACAATATTAATAATTATTTTATTTTAGCTGCCAATGTCCTATTGTCTGAAATGGGTGATGTTAAATTAGCTGATTTTGGAGTTGCTGGTCAGTTAACAAATACAACTAGCAAAAGAAATACTTTTGTTGGGACACCTTTCTGGATGGCACCTGAAGTTATAAAACAATCAGCTTATGATTCCAAAGTAATTATTCTAATGTACAATATTTGTTTTCTTTATTAAAAATTATCTCAAAAATTTATATTTTCATTTATAGGCAGATATTTGGAGTTTAGGTATAACAGCTATTGAATTAGCTAAAGGCGAACCTCCAAATTCTGATCTTCATCCAATGAGAGTTTTGTTTTTAATTCCTAAAAATAATCCTCCACAGTTAACTGGAAATTATAACAAGCAATTCAAGGAATTTGTGGAAGCATGTTTGAACAAAGATCCTGAAAACAGACCTACAGCCAAAGAACTTCTGAAATTTCCATTTATTCGAAAAGCAAAGAAGAATTCATACTTAATTGATCTTATAGAAAAATATAAACGTTGGAAAGCTGCTGGAGGTGGTCAAAGTGATAGTGATTCAGAAGCTTCTGATTCTGATGAATCCAAGATGAACGATACATGGAAAAGTTGGCGTTGGGATTTGGGAACTGTGAAAACTCCAAACTCGTTAGAACTTAATATGCCTTCAATTGCTGAAAATGATAATAATGTTGTTGTTGTAAAACCTACAAAATTGTCTACACAAATTAAACTTCAACAACAAAATGGTGACTCTACTGCCACTCCGTTATCACCTCTATCTCATAAAGAGAATTTATATTACAGACAGATGGAAGGACGGTCACAATTGGTATGTAAATACAAAAAATTGTTTTCCGGTATTTTTAAAAAAATAAATTGTTTTTGTGTGTGCTTTTTTAATAATTATTATTATTTTAAGTTATTGAAATACTTTTAATATTGACAAATTTTCATAAAATTCTTGAATTTAGTTTAATTGATTTAAATAAAAGTATTTTATGCCTCAAATATCATTTAGTATAATCATAATAAAGTTTTTATCTCTAAGAAAGAAATTAAGATCCATACAGAGGGATGCATAAGGTCATGATTAGAAACAAAATTTATTATATGTAGATTTGTGCTGATGTCATTAGTCCAAGAATTAAAGTGCATTTTCTTTTTGGGTTTACTTTATTTACAAGGTCTGTTCAAAAAGTATCGGACCTTTTTTTTTCTGCGTAAACCAATGATGCGAGAGAGGCCTCCTTCGGTGGAGTTGTGGAGGGGACAGTCTTGCACAGCCCTGAATTTTTTCCCGCCTGCAGGAAGCGTCAGTCGTTGGCAATCGGCGTATGAGTGAGGTCATGTAGTGCGCTCTCGTCGGATTTCACTAAGCTGGAAAATGACTGAACAATGTGAGCAGCGATATTACATCAAATTTTGCCAAAAACCTTGGTGATACCCGAGTGTAAACCATTCGCAAGATTCAGCAGGCTTTCGGGGACGATCCTCGAGGCCAAAAAAAGCGCGGCAGGTCCGCAGCAATATCAAAGGTCATGTTGACAGTTTTTTCGACTCTCGNAATTTTATTTAAAATTATTAATACTTACAATAGTAAAATGTAAGTTACTGTAAATTCCTGTTAATACATTTTTAAAGAGACCAGCTTGGGAAAATGACTTAAATGGGAAAACATATTAGGCAGGAATGAGAAAACAACTTTTTTTAATCCAGATATTTTATCACAAAAAGGATACAATGAAATGTAATGGCTACAGCTTTTTAAACTACGGATCTAGAATGGCTTGCTTCTTGTTTGTAGTGCAAGCTTCTAGTCATTGTGGTGGAGTCAGTAAACAAAGTTTGACTCCAGCAAATTTCAAATGTGCAACTCCAACTCATACCTTTTCTTCTTTTAAAATGTCACACTATGATTCCTTTTATAAGAAAGCTACCACTGAATATTTTTATCTAAAATTTCTAATGAGGGCAGCAATAGCAGCGTCAATGTATTGCAAAGGTTTGAAAGCATCTGTTGGGATGATATGAGTCACCTTATTAAATGTATGGAAAACTGAGAACAGTAGCCCTTCAGATGATCTATGTATGGGCAAATCTAATAATTTTATTGCTGCATCAACCTCTTTTTTCTAAGTGAAGTTAATAGAACAAAAAATATCCAGTGTATACAGTAGACCCCTATAACGCTTAGATACGTTCCACTTTATAAGAATTTTATGTTGTAGGAATCCTTAAATACATGAGCCAATCACAGCCCGACACGTGTGAAGTTTACAGACTACGGCTGTTTGAAAGGTTTTCTTCCATAAAATTAACTGATTCTAGACTAATTTGACTCAACATTTCCAAAACATGTATAATTTTTTGGGAATAATCCATATAAACTATGCTATAAACAAAAAATTGTAGGATTACTTACTGAGTGTGCACCATTTGACGTAGCCATTGCTTAAGCTTGTTTTCGTTGCGGAACAGCGCATGAAACAGCGGCCGCGATTTCTGATATAAAATAACTTGACCTTTGAAGACGTCATTAATATAAATAATTTTTATCGCCGTTGAATAAGAAATGTTTCTTTCACAAGAAATGTATAAAATTACATACTGTATTAGACTTACGGTACCTAATTTACATACTGTACAGACGATAGCAAACTCAATTTACCCACCTAAACTCTCCGTAGTGTGGTGCTGGACGGTGGAAAGTAGTTCGACTGCTCATCCACTATTGGTCCAGATTTGACCAATCTTGTCGCAACACAAGTCAGCGACGACATTTTAGGAGTCCCTTTATACGAATACTGCCGCAATTTTTTCGCTACATTATAGGAATTTCCGTTATAGGAACCCACATTATAGGGGGGTTGACTGTACTTCTCTAACATAAGAAAAGTTTCATCTGTATCCTCCCATGCTATGAGAATATCAACATAACGCAAGTACAACAGCAAGTTGTGGATGGCAATCAGGAAATTGAATGTTCTGTGCTCAGTTTCTCTCGTGATCAATTCTGCTAGAACACTAGATAAAGGGGAACCCATGGGGACCCCTGTTTCTGTAAATAAATTTTTCCATTGAAACGAAAATAGTTGTACTTTGTGAAGAAGATCAGCGCATCATGTATATCCAGTATCTGTTGAACTCTAAAGCTCTTCTTGAAGAGTAGAGAATTGACAAGCATTACAACTTTGAAAGTTGTACTAAAGTTAACTAAAGGGTACAAAGATACTACATCCAGTTTGTAGAAGTTGTATGTGATGGTTTGTACTGCACCAATGCTCAAAGTGATGGTGGATTTAGCAACCAAGGATAAGGGAGTAACATAGGGTTAGTCTAGGATAAGTGTGCAGAGAAATCTAGCTGATGCCTTTTCTAAAAAATAGGTAGGATGGGACAGCTTGTAAACAAGTGGTCTCAATGGCCAGCCCACCTTATGCATTTTTGGCTTAAAGAACAACCTGGGACATGCAACATTGGAGGGAGGATCAATACACCCAGTTAGGACCAATATCATCTGGTAGGGTTATGATTCTCCTCGTTTTCCATAGAATTGTTGATGTAGGATCTTCACCTAGCACCGAGGATTGCAATTGGGAAAGAAACTTGTTCACCTTGAGGAGGAAGTCGTCGTCTTTACACAGCACAAATTTCTTGTCCTTGTGTAAGACTAGAAGCCTCAAGTTGGCCCTGGTGAGGAACTGTTACCATTCAGAAGTCCACACAATGTTTAGACTCATCAGACACTTGTCTTGCTGTTGCAAGTTTTGTGATTACCAATAATTCCATTTGTGGATACATGGCTGCTGGCTGTCAAGGCCATGTATTATTGGTATACATTTTATTGTATTTAATTTTATGAAAAAAATTAAATACAAAAAAATGCAGAAAATAACAATTTAATGAATGACATAATAAATTGGTGTGTAAAATAGTTTCTCCTGCTTCGGATACTGTTGGAAATAGTTAATTTCCTACTGACAGTTGAGTAAACTCATGTACATTGTATATAGTAGAATTTTAAAAAATGAATTTTAGAAAAAAAATATGAATCATCCTGAGCCAGACTGTAGAGTTGTGCCACCCCATATCTTGTTGGGAAGCTACTACACCGAGGAAAAACCATTATAGTTGGAATGGCACAAACATTACTATGATTTTTCTTAAATGTTTTTTGTTTTACTTTAAATTAGAATGATGAATTTTTTTTAATTTTCAGTTATTATCATTACTTTTCTGATAACTAATAAAATAATTTTTAGTTTAAATTAGTCAAATGGATAAATTAAAAATTTAGAGGGTACAGCTCTCTAGATATAAATATATTCATTTAATCTATTCGATGCTGAAATTTTTCTCTGTTGCCTGTGATGCCATGTTGAATTTTCGTCAGTGTTAAGCCTAACATTTTTTTTATTAATAATAATCGTGTTTACTGTGTTGTTAAAAATTATTTTTTATATTGCACAAACAAAATAAATATATTGAAAAATATAAAAACAAAAAAAATTATATTTTAAAAGTTTGTTTTAATATAAAAATTGTGACACATAGCAACATCTAGTATCAAAAACGTTCCAATGTAAACACGAAAATATTTGGGATCACCCACGCAGGTCAATGAGGTCAACACGAATATTTTCNAAAGTATTTTCTGAAAGTATATAGCATGTCATGTGCATTATGCTTTTGGTGTGAAATGGCCTTTATAGATGAATATTTTTTATATATCTAAATTTATCAAAGTGTCCATTTTCTAAAAAATTTCTTTAGATACTAATTAAAAAGTATTTTTTATATTTTACCAATAGTAAAATTCAAGGTCAGAGTCAAAAGAAAATTTTACTGACTCTGCCTAAAAATCTCACTCCAGTGACTGACTCCACAACATTACTTGTAACGTGTAAGAGTCTAGTCCAGAGGTGGCAAACAGTTTTTGCCCCTGGGCCGAATTTGAAAGAAAACTTTTTCTAATGGCCAAACCACTGGCTGCTCTAGGAAGATTTTGAGGTGGGGTGAGATCTCATTGTGATGTCACCCCATAGAGATTAGATTGTAGATAGAGATTACAGATACATTTTTCACATTATTATGCTTTATCAACATTCTACACTGTACTTAAGAGATTGTAATGGAGGGTTAACTCTAAACACACAGTGAGTTGTTGACTTTTTTTTTTTTAGCATCAGAATTTTTCATCAAGCTATTTGGACTTGAGTAGCTAGTATTGAAAGATTGATCACGGGCCACATAAATTCATTAGACAGGCTGTATGTAGGCCATGCCTGGTCTAGTCCACTTAAGCAGTTCATAACTGTACTTGGCACATTTTGGAGTCCAACTGTGTAATGAAACATAATCTGAAATTGTGTATCATTACATAGTTGGACTCAAAAATGCTTGATGCTTCAGAAAAGCTTCATATTGGACTCTTCATCTTCTTCACTCTTATTACTTGCATTGTTTGCATCCTAGATTTCTCTCCAAACTCTGAATTTCACAGCCCAGAGTATTATCATCAACATTAATGTAATCATTAAAGTTGCCATTGAACCCTAGTGTGTCCTGCACTTGCTGCCAATCATTTCATCCTCGCTGTATTCCTGCAAATCACTTTTATTCACATTTATATCTGGTTGTTCATCATCATTTGCAATTTTCTTCACAAAACCTGTTTTCCTGAAACAATTTGCTTTAGTAATGCTTGGAACAGATTCCCAGGAAATGTATTGCATCTAATATGGTGAGTTTGTATGTTTTCACATCCAAATTACATTCTATGTGCTGCAGTAATCTATAAACAAGCCATTTATAATAATGATATCTCAAAAGTTTTATAGCGTTGATCTATAAGCAGGAGTACTGATTGTTTGCAGGAAGAAATTGCAAATTGATATATCTCAGGTTGATGTCCTTTTGGATGTGCAGCACATTGATCAATACAGATTATCTTTCTATTTTTCATCTTAGCATAAAGTGCTCTTAAATACTTCTTAAAGATGCTGTCTGTCATCCAAGCTTTGCTCAGAAGTCGAAGGAAAAGTTTACATATGTTTAAAACCTCTTAGTTTTGCTGACTTACCTATTATGATTAATTGGAGCTTTTCATTCCCATCATGTTAGCTCCAACAAGTATTGTCAGCCCTTCTTTGCTGTATTTACTTTCACTACAAGTTTCACCTTTCAGTGTATATGTCTTATCAGATAACATATTGTAGAAAACTGCACACTCATCAACATTGTATAAATTTTTTGAATTGTAATCTGTTATTGTTGTTGGCAAAACTGTCCTTTCATTAATCTATTTGCTCAGTGTCCATGCCTCATCACACCACTGATATAGTGGTGTGAGCATCATAAGACAAACCACACCTGTTTTGAATTGGTTAATCCATCTGTTATATCCATCAATAATTTTAACTTGAGTGTGAAGGATAGTGCCATTAACTGAGATGTTCATTGCATGGGTTTGTTTGAACCACTCAAGCAACTTTTCTTCAGTTTCTTTGTATTTTGGCTGTTTTACTTTTTTGAGCTTTACAGACACTTCTGGTTCCATCATGTCAAAACAGAGTGAACTGCACTTTGTTTTGACATGATGGAATTCAAAGTAGACACTGGTATATTCAATTCCTTAGCCATGGCAATGCACATATTGTCAGGATTTGTATCTACTTTCGTTATGTCCAATTTGTTTTGGACTGACAGTGCTTTGCACTTTCAGTCCAAAACAAATTGGACTGACTTCAAGTGCAAAGCACTTGAAGTCAGTCCAATTTGCTGTTGCATCATGGCAAGTAAACTGACTTCAAGTGCTTTGCACTTGAAGTCAGTTTACTTGCCATGATGCAACACAAAGTATGAGTTGTCCATCTAGTTTTAGCCCAATCATCCTATGCCTGCACTGTTCGGTTAGAACATATAAAGCATAACAGTAAATATTTTAGTTTGGTACAAAATAACTTTATCACTGTCAGCTAAGTGAAGTACTGCACTCACCTATGACAGGGTAGTTAAATCTGACTGGGTAGTATACATATGCAGGCCTGTTACATGCAAATATAACTTCATATCAGTCTTGCCAACTCTAAAATCATTTGCCAGCACACATCTATCTTTAGTGGATATTTTGTTTGGTTGGTTTATTTCCAGTACAACAACAACAATTAATTTGGTTATCCTTTAATGGGTCCTCTGAAGTACTGAGAATGGTAATCCATGTGGAAGTGCTGTTTGTACAAGAATTCTTGTCTATGAATAGATAAGTGTGTTATCACTCTCTTCTTATAGGCCACTAATTTGTGGGACATTGTGTCACAGCGTTTCCAGTGTATATAGTATATGAATTTAAGTTAATGGGCTTTTGTTCAATAACTTAAATTCCTATACACTTTTGTGCAATAACAGTCTTCTAAGCAAAGATGTTGATATTGAGAAAGTTGACGACAACATGGCTAATTTTATCAACTTTAAGGTAGATTCCAACTGAGTTGCTGTTGATGAAGTTTTAAACTAGGTCTGGGCTCTTTCATACAATGAGCAACATAAAAAAAAAATAAGTGTGATATTGTCACTACTTGGTACTATAAGGCCGTCTTTGCAAATTATTCTCTCTTGTTTTATGAACTTTATTATTTTAGAATTTACATAACAGCACTCTTACCCTAAGCTATTACAAAATGAAAACAAAAAGTGAAATGTAAATTTATAAAAATGAATTTGTTCCAGATTTTCTAATATATTTTAGTTTTATTGTATATATATATTTCTCAACTCAAATATAAGTATATTTCTTTTTCAAAATTTTTTAATGTATTATTTTATTTTACATTAATATATTATTAAATAAATTATTTAGTGATGAATCCAAGATGAACGATACATGGAAAAGTTGGCGTTGGGATTTGGGAACTGTGAAAACTCCAAACTCGTTAGAACTTAATATGCCTTCAATTGCTGAAAATGATAATAATGTTGTTGTTGTAAAACCTACAAAATTGTCTACACAAATTAAACTTCAACAACAAAATGGTGACTCTACTGCCACTCCGTTATCACCTCTATCTCATAAAGAGAATTTATATTACAGACAGATGGAAGGACGGTCACAATTGGTATGTAAATACAAAAAATTGTTTTCCGGTATTTTTAAAAAAATAAATTGTTTTTGTGTGTGCTTTTTTAATAATTATTATTATTTTAAGTTATTGAAATACTTTTAATATTGACAAATTTTCATAAAATTCTTGAATTTAGTTTAATTGATTTAAATAAAAGTATTTTATGCCTCAAATATCATTTAGTATAATCATAATAAAGTTTTTATCTCTAAGAAAGAAATTAAGATCCATACAGAGGGATGCATAAGGTCATGATTAGAAACAAAATTTATTATATGTAGATTTGTGCTGATGTCATTAGTCCAAGAATTAAAGTGCATTTTCTTTTTGGGTTTACTTTATTTACAAGGTCTGTTCAAAAAGTATCGGACCTTTTTTTTTCTGCGTAAACCAATGATGCGAGAGAGGCCTCCTTCGGTGGAGTTGTGGAGGGGACAGTCTTGCACAGCCCTGAATTTTTTCCCGCCTGCAGGAAGCGTCAGTCGTTGGCAATTGGCGTATGAGTGAGGTCATGTAGTGCGCTCTCGTCGGATTTCACTAAGCTGGAAAATGACTGAACAATGTGAGCAGCGATATTACATCAAATTTTGCCAAAAACCTTGGTGATACCCGAGTGTAAACCATTCGCAAGATTCAGCAGGCTTTCGGGGACGATCCTCGAGGCCAAAAAAAGCGCGGCAGGTCCGCAGCAATATCAAAGGTCATGTTGACAGTTTTTTCGACTCTCGTGGGGTGGTGTGTCGTGAGTACGCACCACAAGGCCAAACCATCGCAAAGGAGTACTACCAGGAGGTCCTTCGTCATCTTTCTGATACAGTGTGACGCAAATGACCGGATCTGTGGTCGATCAAAACTTGGCAGCTCCATCGTGATAACGCATCCGCCCATTCTGCGCATCTGATTCGGGCTTTCGTTGCCAAACACAATACTCCTGTGGTTCGTCACGCTCCGCACTCTCTTCACATGGCTCCGTGTGACCTTTGGCTATTTCTCAAGCTGAAAATGCCGCTAAAAGGAACCAAAATTTAGTCGAGAGAAGACATCATGCGAAATGCGACGGACCGGCTGATAACCATTTCAAAAGATGCGTTCCAGCAGTGTTTCCAGCAATAGCAGGAACGCTGGGAGAAGTGTATACATTACCAAGGAGACTACTTTGAAGGGGACTAGAGTTTTGTACCTCAAAGTCAATAAATTTATTTTTGCCAACCAAAGGTCCGATACTTTTTGAACAGACCTTGTAAATACATAATGATGATTATTATTATTTATCTTAGATTTTATACTTTAAGTATTATATATTAATTATAAACAGTATAAAGATATTTTATGAATTATCAAAATTTCTTTAAAGTTAAAAATGTTTAAATATGGAAATTAAAATAAATTAATGATTGAAAATATCCTTCTACTTAGTTTATTAGATCAATTGTTTTATTTGACCTGTTAAATTAATGGAACAGCTTTGAAATAGTTCAAATTCAAAGTTTGTAATAAAATGTGTTGTCAGCTTTAGCAGTTACCTTAATTTTTAACACATTGAGTTTCAAAAATTAAACATTGAGGTCTGATTTACAGATTGAATGTGAAATATATTGTTCTTTTAATTAATTTTTATTCTAAAAATAACTGCTAAATTTAAATTATTTCTATTTATTCAACATAATAAACAATCACCTTATTATTTAATTTTTAATTGTTCAACCAAAAACTTTAATATGCAGTTTAACCAAATAATATTTTAGTAATATAGCTTATATCGATCTGTAATTTTGTTTTTCTTGTACATAGACATAAGATGTATTTATTTTCTAATACAAACAGTCAGATCCAATTTTTTTTTAATTCAGTGTGTTTAAATACATAAGTACTTTTTTATTTTATAGTTATTTTGTCAAGCATAATATAGTTACAGTAATAACAACTTTTGAGAATTTTTAATACACAGAATTACTTTAGAACTAGTTTATTTAAATCTGGATAATTCAGCATGCCAATAGATAATTGGAAATGCTTTTAATAATTATTACTGTCATCAGGTCCAATAATATACAGTCGACCCCCCCCCTATAAGATCATAGATACATTCCATTCTTTAGGAATCCGATTTCTTACGAGTCGTTCCAATCACAGCCCGACACGTGTAAAGTTTATGGACTACGGCTGATTGAAAGGTTTTCTTCCATAAAATTAATCGATTCTAGACTAATCCAACTCACCATTTCCAAAATACCTATAATTTTTTTGGAAATAATCCGTATAAACTACGCTATAAACAAAAAATTGTAGGATTACTTACCGAGTGTGCACCATTCGACATCCCCATTGCTAAAGCTTGTTTTCGTCGCGAAGCAGCACACCAAACCACGGCCGATTTCTGATAACTTATTTTTCTGCGAAAACTTCGTTGAACTTCGGAGACATCATTAATATAAATAATTTTAATCGCCGTTGAATAAGAAATGTTTCTTTCACAAGAAATGTATAAAATTACAGTACTGTATTAGACTTACGGTACCTAATTTACATACTGTACAGACGATAGTTAGCGTAAAAATCTCCGTAGCGTGGCGCCACGCTAGACGGCGGAAATTATATATTTAATTATAACAAAGTTACAATAAGTTAATATATAATTATATATACAGTACCTAATTTATATATAATTAATATATAATTATATGTACAGTACCTAATTTATATATAATACTGTACAGACGATAGTAATCTCTCCGTAGCGTGGCGCTACGGACGGCCGGAAAGTAGTTCGGCTGCCCGATGACGTTTTACATAATTATAGGAGTTTTTTACCGGTTTTTACGGATACCGTCGCAATTTTTTCGCAGTTTTATAGGAATCATAATTATAGGGGGTCTACTGTATATAAATAGTTTAATTTACAAAAGTTAAATTATAAATTTAAATCTGTTTAAAACTATATTGATATTCCAATCTGAGAAATATAAGTTTCCAAATCAGTAGTTCTCAATCTTTTTGAAGTCGGGGAACACTAAACTTTGACATTTTTTCCACAGAACACTTACAATACATCAGCTTTAAAACAGTGGTGGCAAACCTTTTTGAAATCAAGCCCACTTGGTCTAGTAGATGACAACATTGGCATTTGCTGATTACCTTCTCATACAAAAATTATTTTACATTGTATTGATTGTTCTTTTGTAACAATTTTTAATTGTATATTTGATTTTTTTCGAAGAACACTTGAAATGGCTTCACAGAGCACACTTGTTCTGCAGACCACGGATTGAGAACCATAGTTCTAAATGTTTAGCTTGAATAAAATTTAATTTAAAAAAGCAATTTAAACTAAAATTTAAATTGAATAAACATAAAAGAAAACTGGATTATTGAATTGTTAATATTACTAAAATAAAACTGCAATTAATAATGTTTTTCAAAATAAACATTTCTATGTAACAAACCATTTAAATAAAATTTGTGCCTCTTGCTAAGACATTTTCCATTTCTAGAGTGGGTATTTCTATATTTGCTCATCAAAACTTTCTTATAGTAGCTTTTTCATCTTATTTAATAGCATAATTAGATTTCATTGCAAATGATGAAGGTATTTTTGAATTTCCAATATTATCTAAGAATATTTTTCTTATTTTTAAAAGTTACTCAGAATATGTAATCAACTTTAAAAATGTTTACTCAATTTCCTAGAAATTTATTCATTTATTTAAATCAAAACATATCAAATCTTCATTAATAGGGATTACACTGTCATTGCAAGGGAATGCATTGCTTCAATCATCTTGAAGATCATGCAAAGTAAAAGATTATTTTTATGTTTGAACTAAATAAAAATAATATAACAAACAACATTTTAACTTTAGCAAAGGTTAATTCTTTATATTAACTTTATTAGCGAGAAAAGAATTTTATATAGTGTTGAACTATCTTGAAATAACTTTGCAACTTGATGGATAATTTATATTCTGTCACTCAAACATACAATGTCACACTTCTTCTGACCTCTTCCAACTCCTTACATTCACAATATAAATGAAAAATATAAAATCGACTTTGCATTTGTTACATGTGCAATTTTTAATCTTCAGAAAATCTATTATGACACAAAAATTATTTGATTTTGATTGCATGTAGAATCTTTTCATTTTAAATGGAATTTGGTAAAGGATAACTATTTCTAGGTGGGGAAACTCAACTCTGGTTATTTATACCAACTGTAAAATTTTGAATTCTTCTAAACACTTTAATATATCAACTAACTAGGAAATAAACATTTTTATCCAATACATTTGCATAACCAAATTTTCAGTTCTCTTCAGTCAGGTTAAATAAAATATACGATGTACCATAGCCAGCCGACATTGAACTGAATTTATACAACCAATTGTTAGAATCACATTTCTGTTTATCTGTAATTTTAAGTTCATCCAAAATATTTGAGTATTATATATAGGTTGTTCAGAAATGATTGGCACTACAAAGTTTTTCTTTACACTAACCATTTAATAGGACAAAGTGAGTGCATATTACATTAGAAGGTATTCTCCACCAATGTTTGTGCAATGTTGCTATCATTCTGGCAGATATCCAGCAACACCTTTGGACAGCTACTAAAGCTCAACGTTGGAGAACTCACCATGCACTGCTTCTTTCATTGCATTGAACAGAGCATAGTCACTCAGTATAAAATATGGTGGATACTACAGCATGGTATAAACCAGAGCTTGCATGATGGCAACAGTATGGCAACTGAAATGTGGCTGGTAGAAGTATCCCCATTTCCTGGGGCAGTGTTGCTGAATGTTGGAATTGCTATAGTACCAGTCATTGATGATGCTCTCACTGGAGGTATCCAAGCCAATATCAGCTCCTCCTGATCCCAGAATAGTTATCATTAGCTTCTTGGCTTGAGAGTACCCAGCATGCTTCCACTCCATGGACTGGGGTTTCTTTTCTGGCATCTCATGTCAGAACCATGACTCATTGCTTGTGACCAGATACTCAAGGAACTTCACTGATCTGTGCTGTACAGCAGCAGAAGTTATCATGTTTCCATACAATACTGCTTCTGCTGAATGGTGAGAAAATGGGGAATCCATTGTGTATAAATATTTTTTTGTTTTAAAGTCCTGATGGATGATGGTGTGCAGAGTTCCATGCAATAGACATGTTGCATCCTCCAGTTCATTAAATGTGATTCTCCTGTCCACCATTATCAAGTCAGACATGTGATGGATGTTGTCTGGTTTGCATGCACTTGCTGGCCACCTACTGCTTTTGCCTTTTCAGCACAGTTCTTTGCCACTTTTGAACTCCAATAGTAAAACATGGTTCTGCAATCTGGTACACTGTTCCCACACACTGCTGCTAGCCTTCTGTGGATGTCCAATGCAGTCATCCTTTCCTCTGCAGAAACCAGTCCATTGTTACCCATAATTATTTGCTTCTGTATTTTTATTTTACCTTGCCCACAAACTTGCTTGCATATCAACATGAATGACTAAGCACCTTTCTTCCTTTGCAGTGCAGCACCTTCATCTGTTAGCAACTAACACATCTGTAGTGCACACTCAAAATATATTTCAAACTGCTAGTTTTTTGGAATTATGGGAAGATTGTAATCGTTTTTGAACAACCCTAATATTATCATTATTAGTAATATTTGCTTTCTTTTTTGAAAAATTTCATAATATAAATTATCAAAAAGGGTTCTATCCTTAATTTATTTGCATCATGTTGCATGGCATAGTCTGGCACTGCTCCAGTCACATTTAGAGAAAAAAATTGCTTAAAATTTCTAATTAAATAAATTAATAATAAACTGCAATTTACAATAAATAAAGTTAAGAACTCAATCCAGTTGCATTTTTTTAATTTTTTTATTAGGTCAGTTCATAAAATAAATTAACGAAATAATTACTTGTTTATTGAAACCAAATTCAATACAATTTTAATAAAAAAGTAATTTTAGAATATTAATGCAATAAACATTTAATGCTTTAATTTCTAGAGCTATACATTCTGAATTATATAAAAATGTAATATAATATAATTTATGATATCTGGAAAATATGTGTTCTTAATAAAAATAAAATAAATTACAAAATTTTCATGTTTAAAGTTATTTTGATTTAATTAATTAAGAAGAATTTGATATTTATAATCTACTTTCATCTGTTAATGGTTTCATGATGGTATGAAAAAAGTTGGCATTTTGATTCAAAAAGTATAAGGTTATTAATAATTTCCCCAATATTTTGAAATTTTTATCATCTAAAGAATCGTGAGCAGGGGATATAATAGTTTGGAGATTTAATATATCTAGAAATATATACAGTTTAGCATACAGGTAAATCAAACAAAATCTGTAATTTAAGATAAAGTAATATATGTAGAAGTATATGGAAGTAGAAATAGAAAATGTACTATTAGACTACTGAAACAACATAGTTATTTTTTTAATAGATTTGCTCATCTGTTTAATAATCTAAGAATATTTTTCTTATTTTTAAAAGTTACTCAGAATANATTATTGACAGAATTTAAGAATCAGATGATAAAACTTTATTATTAAAATTAGTTGTGCTTTTAATGCTAATAATAATAAAAGAATTAGAAACATTCCTGATTTAGCAGAAGAAATGAATATTGTAAAAATGAGCTATTAATAAAATGTATTAGTTTTAAATAATTCTATTCTTGATTCAAAAAATAAAATAACTTCAATTTGATGTGTAAATAAAGAATATATTGACAATAGAGGTTTTTTTTTTGGTCAAACAGAAAGATATCCATCTTGATTTCTGATAAGTTTCTCTTGGTGTTTCATTAATAAGTTATATATATGATGTAGAAAATGTAGTTATATATATGCAACTTTGTGGAGTATATAATGCTTGCAATTTTGATTTGACAAGTATAACTGCTTTTTTTGGATGAATATGCTTGAATTAACTTAAAACAAACAAAAAATAAAAATACATATTTTCTTATACTTGCAAAGATAACTGGAACAGGAAGGTCAGAGTATAACAACTTTTTACAGTTTCAAACACTAAGACTGGAATAAAGTATGTCATATTAACCTTATAAATGAAATTGCAGTATAGTTTAATGCAGATAAAATACAAATGTTTTTGATCTCCTGTGTAGATCAAAAACGTTTGTATTTTATCTGCATTAAACCATACTGCAATTCCATTTAGAAAAAATGCAAACTGATGAACCTTTATAACTTTTTACAGTTTCAGCAAAATTTTGGTTTAATACAACTTACAAATGTTCTTGGCCATTTTATACTTGACACCTTCATGTAATTAGCCAAAAGAATGTTTTAAAAATTAGAAAAAAATACAAAGTTTAGAACAAAATAAATTTGAATATTTGCAATATGTTTCCCACATAATTCAAACAAATCACAGCACAACTATGCATTAAATAAATTAAAAATACATAGTAGGAGTAATGTTTACATAATGTCATACAAAGTTTTCCACATGCTGGTTGCAACTCTGTAGGTTGTAAATTATTATTATAAAGCAAAATTTTGCTGGGACTGTGAAAATGTCTAATTTCCAAGTATATTTGTTGAAATAAAAATTCATCATCTTCAATCAAAGAAGAAATGATAAAGAATACATGTTTATATTTTAGTATATATTCTCCTATAATTTATTAACAGATCAATATAATGTTTATATTTTATGAAATTTTACATTGTTAATAAGTTATGAAAGAAAAATTGAAAATAGGTGATATATTTACAAAAGGTAAGACAGATGGTGGTGATGTAATTATCAACATTTCAGTCTTTTCTGAAAACATATCTGCAACTTGATAGAACTAAATATATTTTATAACTAGGAGGGATAAACAGATTGTAAATTGAAGACAACTCCTAATTACCTTGTTATTAAATTTTGAATCCTGTTTTTAATTTCATTTTTTGCAATTTTGAATTTTTCTGAAATTCAATTCTGAAATACTCTGTTGCTATTATCAATTGTCTTAACAAATGAAATTATCTATATATATATAAAAATGAATGTATGAGTGTGTGTCTGTCTGTCCTTCATGCATTACCACACTGTTTATCCAATTGCCATGAAACTTTGGGAAGTTGTTCAATATACTCCTGCGAAGGTTTCTGGCATAGTACATTTATCCTATGATAGATGGCACACATATATATAAGCATTTCACTGTGTGTTCTATTGATTTCAAATTGTGAAGACCATTTCCCCCCTCCAAAAAATATCTCTATATATGCATTTGTGAACTGTTATTTACGATATTTGTAATAATTTTTCTTTAATCACTCTATTTCAACTTTTTTTTTTTTTGCTAATTATATATTCGCTCAAACTTTGTTAAAACCTTAACTATATCCCGAACAACAACCGAAGTTGTAGGAGGAAATTCGCCTATTTTACCGATCTAGGGATCCCCCTTTTCCAAATTTTAATATCAACTCAAAATAATTTAAAAAGACAAATTATAATAAAACGGTTTATTATCCAACTATCAGAAATTTCACAACATGCTAAGGAAGAGAGGAAGGAGCAATTAAATAATTAAAATTGTAAAGGATTAAAAAAATATATATATAAATAGGGAATATCGTACTTCTGACAATCGCTGCAA